AAAACATTCCATGCTCATGGATTGTAAGAACACATATTGTTAAAATGTCATTACTACTGAAAGCAATCTACACATTCAATGCAATCCCAATCAAAATTGCACCAGCATTCTTCTCAAAGCTAGAACAAACTATCCTAAAATTTGTATGGAACCACAAAAGATCCCGAATAGCCAAAGTAATATTGACGAAGAAAACCAAAATGGGAGGAATCACCATCCCAGACTTTAGCCTCTACTACAAAGCTGTCATCATTAAGACAGTATGGTACTGACACAAGAACAGACACATAGACCAATGGAATAGAGAACTCAGAATTAGACCCACAAATGTATGGCCAACTAATCTTTGACAAAGCAGGAAAGAGTATCCAGTGGAAAAAAGACAGCCTCTTTAACAGATGGTGCTAGGAGAACTGGACAGCAACATGCAGAAGAATGAAACTAGATCATTTTCTCACACCATGCACAAAAAAAAACTCAAAATGGATAAAGGACCTGAATGTGAGACAAGAAACCATCAAAACCCTAGAGGAAGAAGCAGGAAACAACCTCCTTGACTTCAACCACAGCAATTTCTTTCTTGACACATCCCCAAAGGCAAGGGAATCAAGAGCAAAAATGAACTACTGAGACCTCATCGATAAAAACCTGTGCGGCAAAGGAAACAATCCATAAAACTAACAGGCAACCGACGGAATGGGAAAAGACAGTTGCAAATGACACATCAGATAAAGGGTTAATATCCAGAATCTATAAGGAACTCACCAAACTCCACACCTGAGAAACAAATAATCCAGGGAAGAAATGGGCAGAAGACATGAACAGACACTTCTCCAAAGAGGACATCCAGATGGCCAACGTCTAGACACATGAAACGATGCTCAGCGTCCCTCATCATCAGGGAAATACAAATCAAAACCACACTGAGATACCACCCCATGTCAGTCAGAGTGGCTAAAATGAACAAATCAGGAGACTCTAGATGCTGGCGAGGATGTGGAGAAATGAGCACCCCCCTACACTGCTGGTGGGAATGTAAACTAGTGCAGCCCCTCTGGAAAACAGTGTGGAGGTTCCTCAAAACATTAACAATAGAACTCCCCTATGACCCAGCAATAGCACTGCTAAGAATTTACCCAAGGGATACAGGAGTGCTGATGCATAGGGGCACATGGACCCCAATGTTCATAGCAGCACTCTCCACAATAGCCAAAACATGGAAAGAGCCTAAGTGTCCATCAATGGACAAATGGATCAAGAAGATGTGGTTTATCTATACGATGGAATACTACATGGCAATGAGAAAGAATGAAATCTGGCCATGTGTAGCAACATGGATGGAACTTGAGGGTGTTATGCTGAGTGAAATAAGTGAGGCAGAGAAGGACAGATATCATATGTTTGTACATACAGGTGGATTAGGAGGAACTTAACAGAGGACCATGGGGGAGAATAAGGGGAAAAATAGTTGGGGAGAGGGAGGGAGGCAAACAATGAGAGACCCTTGAATGCTGAGAACAAAGAGGGCTAATGGGGGTGGGGGAGAGGGGAACGGGGGTGATGGGCATGGAGGAGGGCACTTGTTTGGATGAGCAGTGGGTGTTATATGGAAACCGACTTGACAATAAACTATTTAAGATTAATAAACAAGTCAACAAACAAACAGTTTTGGGAGAAACAAAATGTCTCCTTTCACTACAGACAAAACAAAGTGGCATGGTAAAAAACTGACTTGAACCTTGTGGCTGGTGGTGTTTCAAATTAATTTCTTCCTTCTCAGGATAAACCTGGCTATCTGGTAGGTTGGAGTACTCTTCAGACTTGCAGAATGTAGGAGTTGGTCTTATTTTAGGTGTCTATACTTGGTGACACTATTTGTAGTGGGGCAGGAAGCATACTGAATCAGTGGTGTGCAAACTCGACTTTCAGGTTCTAACCCAAAACCTGGCTTTAAGATTCTAACCTACTATTTCAGAGAACCTTGGCTACTACAAACCACAGTAACATTTTATTATAAAGTTTATATAGTAGTATTCTTCATATTAGGTAAGAAATTTTAGATATATAGGATGTAAGAGACCTAAAATAAGGACTATCACATACCTAGAATGTCTGGCACTGCCTAGTGAAAAGCTTCCTCTCCTAGCTAGATTCAAGAAGTTTTGCAGAAGTCAAGAAGATACCAATGCTATGGAAATATTTAAGACATGTTCCTTTCCTCTGAAATCTGGTGTTTCCTTATAGCTCCTTAGTTTTTATAACTAACTTGGTCAAGACCTTCAGTGACAAATGGTAACTGTTTTAACAAATCCAAATAATCTAGGAAGAATACAAGAGAGTGAGGTATGTCAAAAAATGTGTAGAGTTACAAATCCACAATCCCTTACTGGCAATTTCAAAATCCAGAAAGCTATGAAAACTAAAGCTTTTTGTGTGTAATTCACTAGTGGGCAGGACCTGACTTGAATCTGAACTCATGAGATGGCAACTCCTGACTAACCTGACTGAAGCTGTTTTGGATTTAGTTATCCCCCTGCTGCTGAATGTTCATATATTAGGCTACAGACATAAGAATCTTCTTGGTTACTGGGCAGCACACAGTCCCCTGGGGTGTTACATATAGACATCAACGTTGTGGTAATGTTTGTTGTACATCAATACAGGAAGATTTTATATGCAAATGCCCATATTTCAGCATTCTGAAACATGACTCATTCTGTCTGTGTTACAGAGCCAGCTCTTTCTACACACTATATAAACTAGCTTATTCTACATACTAAAAGGTAAACAACACCTGCTCTTATGCTGGCTCAAGAGACTAGTCCTCTGCAGTCCCAGTCCAAGAGTCACTGTTCATGGTCAGATGCTATTAAACTGGGTAAAAAGCTACTTGTACCCACAACTGTAACCAGTCCATGTGGTAACAGCAGCCAGAATTAAGGTAATACCACATGCCATCTACTAGGTGCATAAAGTCGCACACATAAATGGCAAGTGAATTCCTATGCCTAATTTTAGTAAGTTTATTCAGGCTAAAGAGAGCCTATTAATTGTCAGACATTTTAAAATACTATCTGAAGAAAATAAGCATGGTTTTCCTATAAGATACAAACAAAATAGAAGGATTATATCTACCACAGATAAAACATACTGCATGTTATTTCTCATTTTCATCCATTTCTGCTACACCATGGGGCACTACAAGTCCTTGTGGTATCTCTTCAGATTATACTCAGCATTTGATTTTTAAGTGTTTACTTCAAATACACAAGGTCAAAGTATCAATTAACAGAAATGTTATTGATAACTCTATAATGTAAAGGAAAATCTTTGTGTGTTTGAAAGATTTAAAGACCAAGGCACTACCTTAAAGTGAGGATTTAATCATTCAGTTCAGTAGATGTATTTATTACAATATACTCTACAAAACAGTTCAATTATAGAAGGGCCAGTAACATTTTTAACATAAATAGTACTAAATTAAGTTTGGGATTCTGAATTTTGAAATAACCATCAAATATGTCATGTTCTTTCAGGTCCCGTGTCTTTCACACATCAATCTCTCATCTAGAAAACCATTTCCACATTTGTTTTCCAAGGCTCAGGTAGAGATTTACCTTCCTTGGAGCCTTCCTCAAGTCCTCTGAAAAGAATTGTTCAACTTTCTTTGTTGCTACTGGTACACTTTCCACAGCGACAATTATATGGTGATTATTTTATTCTCACCTACCCCTCACCCCGGGCAATCAGCTTATACAATACAAGGATGGTTAGATGCTCTTCGTTTCAGCTTCAGAACTTTGTTTCTCCCTCAATACGAATGAATGAATGATCAGAGAATAACATGCCATTATGAGGTTTATGTTCTCCTCAAATATGATCATCTGGCAAGGGATAAAAACTGTAGGAACTGTAAGTCTTCTAAGGCAGAGAGACCCAACCAGACACTCTTTAAACAGAAAGATTCACTGCCAATACCACAAATTATGCCGGTTGTGCCATGGATATTAAATTGAGAGGAAACGTTCGATGTCAAGAGCTGCACAGAAAGGGCAGCCCTGGTAACTTGGCTATATTTCACGTTCCCTCCTGCTGCTACTCCCTAAAGTATTCAAACACAACAGCTCTGATCAATGATAAAGTCTTGAAGAACAAGTTATTTTTGTGAGGAAAAAATGAAGTCACTGAAGCAAAATCCTCCAGATCAAACGTTTCTCAAATAATTTTTATGCATAGGAATTCCTTTGGGATCTTGTTTTTTGATTTTTTGTTTTTTTTTTTTAAGTTTTTTTAATGTTTTATTTATTTCTAGGAGAGAGAGAGAGAGACAGCATGAGCAGGGGAGGGTCAAAGAGAGAGGGAGTCACAGACTCTGAAACAGGCTCCAGGCTCTGAGCTGGCAGTCAGCACAGAGCCCGACAAGGGGCTAAAACCCACGAACAGCGAGATCATGACCTAAGCGAAAGTTGGACGCTTAACCGACTAAGCCACCCAGGCGCCCCATCCTTTGGGCTCTTGTTAAGACTGCAGACTGTAGGGGCATCTGGTTGAGCATCGACTTTGGCTTTGGTCATGATTTCACAGTTTGTGGGTTCAAGCCCTGCATCGAACTCTCTGCTGTCAGGGTCCTCTGTCTCCTTATCTCTCTGCCCATTCCCTACCTGTGCTCTATATCTCAAAAGTAAATAAACATTTTTTAAAAATACTATGATTTGGTAGGTATGGCTGGGGCCTGACATTCTGCATTTTTTAACAAGCTCAGGTGAGGCTGATGCTGCTGATCTATGAACCATCCTTTTTAAATAGTACTTTTAGAGCAGGGATAGATATTATATTTTCCTCCAAAGTCCAGGGTGGACTTGCCTTGCTTTTAATCAACATACCCTTGTTAGCATTCTTTGTTATAATCTAATCTTGATGGTGCTAATTATATAAAACAGTGCTAAAATTTGACTGGAAAAAAATCCATATGACTTCAAAAATCTTTAAATTATTCTTACCTATACTCTGGTAATGCCATCGAAAGAAAATTCGTTCAGGTAGAAACTGCAGTATTTTCTATAAAACAAATTTAAAAATGGGTAAGATATAAAGAAAACATAAACTACATATTTCATGATAGTACTATGTGTGAAAAGTACATACATATTTCAGAAAATAAAAAAAGAAAAGAAATGATTTGTAATAATATTAATAGCACATTTGACCCAGTAGCCCATGGGACAATGTCTTACTTCCCCCAGGCAACCTTCCTTCCCTGAGTACCTTAAAGACATCACTGTCCCAAGTTTAATTCTTCCCAAAAGAAAACAAGAAAAAGAAGGGGGGAAAGCCTAAAATGATAATTTTATCTTAATTAAATCATAGCCACTGCTTAAGTATTAAAAGACTAATTTTTCAAATGCCAGATGCCCCAGGTTTCTGCTTTTTGGCCTTCAACTTCCTGTTTCCATTATCCTCATTACTTGTCTCTGGATAAGGACCAGAGTCAGGAAGAAATATGAACAAAGAGGATAATACCCTGAACATTCAGTGAAATAACAAAATGAAATTGCTGTCAATAATTTCTTGAAATTCACAGCTAAAACTAAGTTTAAGATTGCAGATAGGAATTCCACCTCCTTCCCCCCAAACATGGAAAGGTGCAATAAAGAATGAATTTATGATATACAAGAGTATTTGGCTAGTAAAAGCAACTTTTCCCCCAAAACCCCAAATGCCCTTTTTTTCTTTTTTCCCCACTCTAAAGTAAGTTTTGGCAAGCTACTGTTGGGTCATCAGATTCCTTGTACTTTATTTGCAACCACCTTTTTAAGAAATGTGGGAAAAAAAAAAAAGGTCAAAATGTTTTCTTGGTATTGAAAGATCTCACTATGTAGTCACAAAAAATCTTATTCTAGGTTTATCTAACCTAATATTTTACATTTTAAAAGATGAAGGTAAAAAATTTATACCCAGGATCTCCTGAATAAGTATACTTCCAGGCAGCTAATAAACTGCCTCCTCCATCTAAACCTACCTGCAGTTTTGTTTTGTTTCATTTTCTTATTTTAACCTTCCAAATGGGTCAGTAACATATATACGTGTATCACGTCATTTGTTCTCAGGTGATGACAGTAAACACATAAGAACATCTACTGAGAAAAGGCACAACAGGTAACCTTCCATCGAATGCAGGTGATTCTAAATGGCACAGACTTCACACTTGGCCTGGATGCTTCTCCACCCACAGCCTTGCCCCATGGCACCGCCTCACCATTCAGCTCTCACTGCAAGCACCACCTCCCAACAGAGGTCTTTCTGGGCGTTCTTTCTAGAAGAGCCTGGCTCCCTCCCACTGCTCTGATGCTTTCTCTACCACCTGTTCTGTCATCTTCATAGCCTTATCCCTTGCTGAATTCTTCAAGTTCACTCATTTAAAGGCAGTATTCCCTCTACCAAAGTGTAAGCCCCACAAGAGCAAGAACATCTCTGTCATTTCCTCTTAGTATACCCAGCACCTAGAGCATGGCTGGCACACAATATGTGTTCAAAAATACTCAATAGAAGAATTCTGCATTCATTTTACTTGTAAAACCAGGAATTTTACAGGTCATCCTGACCTTTGCTTTGTTCCTTTGTTCATGTTGACATAAAATGTATCTTTGTATTCCTTACACATCAGTGACTTGACAACAATATTTACATTAAAATGTGTGGGCATTTTTGAAACCCTGAACTTAGTAAAGAAAACTCAAACAAAGAATAAAAGCTGTATAATTTAAAAGAACTAATTTTTCAAAATCTGATAAACATAAATAATAAAATATAAATGCATTTAGTTACAGTGTTTCTTACAAATTGTTCATACCACATGTCTACATGGATGAAAATGCTATGAAACTATATTGAAGACTATTTTTGATTATATATGTTAAAAGCAGTACGTGGTTGATCACATGGCCGAGAATCACTGACACAAGTTCTCTCCTACATTTCCATCTCAGACTCCTAGAACATGCTGACTTGGTATTTAAGCCCATAACTCTGAAATGTATCCTATATCTTGTTTTATTATGCGTTAATGCTGACATACACCCAAATACACTTACACACACACACACACACACACACAATGAGCACATGAACATCAAATCCTGGTTAGTGAAAAATATCTACACACTTGATATCAAGCTTGGTGTCTGAATTGCAGAAATAAGGTAAATATTCATAAATACTTAGTTCTTCCTTCTAAAGGTTTTGTGATTAGAGCAAGAGAGATGATAAAGAAAATATAATTCAGGAGGGGGGAAAGCCTGACAGAAGTTTGTCTGAGGAGCTGTAGAGGTGAGGGGGAAAGCACCTCATCTCCGAAGCTTCACGGAATGTTTCTGGGGAAAAAGGATTAATTAAATTAGCCTAGTGGAGAACAGGAACAGAAGGAAGAGCTTGTATGGAGGCTAAGAGGCAAAGGCAGCTTGGTACCTGAAAGAACAGCAGCAGTTAGAGGGCCACCTGGATGACAGGTAGATGAGGATGGCAGAAGGGACTGGACAGACAGGTGAGGCCATGATCTCATATGGAGCCCTGAACAGGTTCAGTCTCTGAACAGGTTCCAGCTGGATGGGAATTTAAGATGACTGAGAAGAGAGGCAGAGGTATCAACAAAGGGGTAATGGTAGCATTTCAGAGAAGGAATGAAATGGCCACAAGAAAGCTCAGAAAGGTAAATAGGAGATGCATATAACAGTGATATTTGAAGGTAAAACTGTCAAGCTGGCAGGCAGAAAGTAGTGGTGGTGAATGGAGTACTCAAGAAGGATTCCCCAATGGCTCAGTATGGCAATACCTCTATCTAAGATATCAAATCCAGAAGGAATCCCAGAACTGAAACAAGTCCAGTTTGGTTCTGGACATCCTAGAATGGGAGGTGTCAACAGACTCCTTAGAGGAGATGTTCTAGGCAATTAGGTATATATGGGTCGGGGAGGCAGGAGCAGGACTTGGAAGGTAACAGTATATAGGCAGCAGCTGAAGATACACGTGTGTAAGATCCCTTTGAGAGGGCTTAAAATGAGAGAAAATGAAACCCAAGAGACATCAGTGCACTGAAGTTCTCTAAAAACGGTAAGGACGAAGAAGATAGCAGAAGCTAGAGACACACGTGCACAGGTCAAAGAAGAAATTTTCAATGTATTTATTTTAAAGGCTAAAAACACTTATGACTATTTATATGCACAACCAGTTAGAAAAAGTTAAGGATGATGGAAAATATAAGAAAACTGATGCCACCTCACAAAATGACTTCAGTATTAAGCCAAGAGAACTCAACGTTATCTGTTGTCTGAAAAACCCATAGCCTTTGTTAGCCAGACACCAAATACCAGGCAGGATGGATCAATCTATACATTGTACAAAGGCAAGTAAACAGCTCTGGGGGGAAAAATCAAAGCAGGTCTTCACCTTGCAATATATACCGATGTATGTATTAGATGAATAATACACAAAAGGAAGTGTAAAATCTGGGTTATGTGTTAAGATTCATTATATTAAAAGGGAATCAGAAGTAAATATGTCATTTCCCTATGGAATATTTTAATAAGAACGCATGCAAGCACTGTCCTACCAAAAACATACAAACCTGAACATGCCCAGGAGCTGCAGACGAGGCCACAGACAGGAGTGAGGACCCAGAGAGCTGTCTACAGCGTACAGGAAAACATCACAAGCAAAGAGGTTTGTGTGAGAAAATCAACAACTCTGGATCTGAGAATAAGGACCAGGTTCTCAGAAGTCTACTGCCAACCAAATGAGCAACTCTAAAGCCCAGGGATGGGCTAGGAAGTCTCCAGACTGAAGAGAGAAAGAAGGCCTCCATTTATATCTAAGTTTTATGGTTGGAACTCAGATTTCCCCTTCACTAAAAAATGTATTATAGGCAAAGAGGAAGTCAAACTTTCACTCTTCGCAGATGACATGATACTCTACATAGAAAACCCGACAGACTCCACCAGAAGCCTACTAGAACTGATCCAAGAATTCAGCCAAGTTGCAGGGTACAAAATCAACGTACAGAAATCGGTTGCATTTTTATACACCAATGATGAAGCAACAGAAAGAGAAATCAAGAAACTGATCCC